AAAATAAATCGACGTCGTAAATAAATAAACTGCTTTAAATACCTGAGGCCTGTGAGTTCACGCTTTGACCAGTGAAGAAAATCGCGATGAAACACAAAGCTTTCCAATCTGCAATCTACAAACAATACAACATTATTTGTTGATACATCACAAACTCATTCCTACTGTTTAGAAAGGCATCATGTGACCATCATGGTCAGTAAGACTTATCGAATGTCTCGTCGGGCAGAATACCAATTGTTCTCTTGACATACTGATGGAGATGAACATTTTGGTGGGATGTCGGTTTTATTGGACGCGATTAAGCGCGGAATCCTCTCTATGAAACACTTCTTAATTCGCATTAGGAATCAAACCCCAGACCTTCGGATTCCACGCCTCGATGCTCTATCACTGGAGTACAGAGACTCTCTTTGGCGAGCTTGTTCATTGTTTGGTAGCGTCGCCAATGGGTTTGAATCATACACAGTTAACTCTTGCTGCAATACTGGCCATTTCTTTTTTTTTTTTTTCTTGTGTCTGGGTTCGCTTCGTCATAAATCGCCGTAACTGTGGTTATTTGTTTAAGGGAAAAGAAAGCTCAAGGATCTCGCTCAAGAGAATATCAAGCATCCAATTATTCAACAAGCTAAACAACTTAACTAGACAGGTTGAACTGGTCGTTAGATTCTGAACATAACTAGCGATAACTACCGTAAATTAGAGAGGTCGATGGGCCACCTTAAAAACTAGCCTTAGTAGGTACTCACATGCCTAAGCGTGGAGCGTGTTGAATCCTCTGCATGGAAAAGTTTATACGAGTATACTATATTATACAAAAAACATTATTTTACGATAAGATTCTCTCACCATTTCGAGCCTTGAAGAATAGTTCTTTTCCAAGTTATTCGCTGGTTCTCTTCAAGCTGCCAGTAGACTTGAATGATGAGTACAGAAATCATGGCTCCTTTTATACAGTATTATTCGTTTATCATATCAGCTTCCTGTGTACGTGATCTTTCGAGCAATTTGTACCTTTGCCCTAAGCGGAATTGGTATCAAACGAGCTTACCTGTCACTCGATCCTCTCGGAATTCTGGTGTAATTGTCTTTTGATGTTGTTTTTCCTCGTTGCTACGTATGTTCTATCGTATTTGTTCTATCGTGCTTTCGTAATTTTAAACTAAAAAGTTACTGTTCCACCTCAGTGGATCATTGTCTATTTTACTTAAAAAAGTAATGTACTTTATGTTTTGAGAACTGTGGGGAAACTCCATTATTGATCTTGTTTCTGGTTCTCTTTTCAGTTGTAGTCGATGTATTTTGCACGCAGTTTGGCAGGTTCATGTACAGGTATTTGGATAACGGATGTGATATTTGAGGAATAAGCTGGTTCAATTTTTTAAAGTATTTAATTGCTCGGATGAAAGGTCGCGATTATGCATTAAAGTCACTGCTGGACCTCTTTTTAGGGATTTTACGTCATTCTTGTCATGCATACGACAATTCGGCCAGGCACGTTTTCATCCTTAAAATGTATACTTAAGAACAAAATTGCCCAATTTATCTGCGAAACGTAGTTAAATAGTATTTTAATTAAGTATTTTTTTCATGGGTCAGGAACAAAATCCTGGAATCTATAGTAGAAGTTTTCAGACTAAAATTTGTGATTTTCCATGCCTGACCAATAATGTGACTCCAACTAAAAAAGTTCTTAGCCTTTTTTAAAACAGCCAGTTAAAGACGCAGGAAAATTCATGTAAATTGTGAAGGAATGTCCTTTTCATTCTCGCATAGATTAAAGAAAGAACTTCAAATTTTGTGGGTCCTATTGGGGAAAACATTCCCTTTTTGGGGAATATTGCTCGCATTGTATATGAAGGATGATCACCTTTTGTTATATGGCACGTCAATCCTTATTAGCGCATAGTCGCATGTTTTTGTAAGAACAAACCAGCGAGTGTGGTCAGTTACGCAATAAGATGGACTCCCCTCTCCTCTTTCTCTTCTTTTTTCTTGCTCTCTCTCCTTCTCTTGCGCTGTTTCTGGTTTAATAAACACACTTTTGCCAAATGTCATTACATATCGTTCTTTGCATGATGTCGCTCTTGCTAATGGTTACTTGCTCTTTCCTATAGTATTTTGTTCACCTCCCTGGTGAAAAATCTCTTTATCTATTAAGCAATGGATAAATAGTCTAGGCTTCAGTTTTGAATGACTTCCTATTTTTCATTTTTATGTTATTGGAAAAGAATGCTTCTTTTCAGGGGGAAATTTTCCATTCATTAAGTACTGCTGGACATCTTAATCTACTTATAGACGTATTCGCAAAATTCTCAGGTTCTCAAAAACACTAGGTTCGGAAATAAGCTGACCGATTATGGAAGACTGATGGACGAAGAGGAAAATTTAGTTGCTTAAAGACGAGAAGTGTGACCAGTCATTTCTTCAGCATAACTGTATTATTTAGTTTCTTTTTCAACTAATCCACTGTCAAATTTGCTTTTAGTTCGTAAACAACGGAATTCCGATGTGCGTGCTGTCAGATGTCAAGCCGTACACTTGAAGCGGAAATCTGCTACTGTGTTCGCTTGTTGAGGGGAACCCATTTTAACGAGTTATACAGTTCTAGGTTTTCTGTGTACATAGGAAAAGCTCTCTTAAGGAGGACGTTCAAATCTGAGTTCGTATTGAGTGATTCAATAGGTATACTGGGCTTTTCTTGTGTACGTAGAAAACCTCGAAATGGATAACTCGTTAAAATGGGTTCCCTTCAACGTAGTATGCGGTCAGATAACGAGCGTTACACTGTGTTAGTAAGGTGAGGTATTTTATAGAAAATTTGACGCATTTTTTTATTTCTTAGAGCGGTCGGAAATATTCCCATGCAACCCTTATAATTCTGCCATGACTGTTATTTGGCACGATGAGCATCTCACAGCTGGAGTTTGGGCCGCTTGTGTTCCCACATCTTGTTGCGTGCGTCGTGGCTAAGGGTAGATGATTTCCAATGCTACCAATTGACTCAAAGAAAAAAAAAGAAAGATTCGTGTATCAGCCCTAATTGTTTTTAGAGCTGATCAAAGACTTGTTTTCCTGGTCAGCTGTGAGTGATATTCTGAAAATAGCAAATGCGCAAGAAATCAGTATCTGTCAGCGCCACTAAGAAAGAAAGAGGACTTGCACTTCAACTCTCAAAATGCCAAGGTCAACTATCTCATTAGGAAAGAACACGGAACCCATAAAAAGGCACGTACACTGCCTGAAAACCGGTAGTTGAAGACGATTACCTAAGCAAATAAATTTTCCGTTGTTTGGTCAAGATATCAGCAGATGCAACATTTGACAGGTTATAAAAGCAATGGTGTCTTCTAAAGGTTTATCATTCGGTTCCAGGGGTAACTGGAAAGAAAGGACTCGAAAGAAACTGACGAGGAAGAAACACCTATCAAGGGTCGAGATAGCGAGAGAATCTTTATGTTATAGTTTATATCTTTTGAATCCAGCCAGGTTTTCATTTTAAGAGACTTTTTTGCATGTAACTTTTAAGGAGTTTTGATGTGCTCGGCGCGCATGTATTGTGTCTTGGTTGATTAAGAACATCTTTGAAATAGGATCATTGACGCACGGTGGCTGTCATGGGTTTTGCTTATGATCCAACGACATGTAAACGAGCCCGGCATCATGCTTGGCGAATAGTTATTCTATTGCCACACACAAAGCTTTTTTTTTATATTTTCTTGAAAACGCTGTCTTATCAATGACAAAGTGGCTCAAGATTTTCGAACAACTTTCTTCAATTCGTTCCAAAGATTTCCATATAACCCATTGCTATTCTAAAACGAGGCCGTAGTCCCAAAGCTCATGCGTTGGGCTATCAACGTTTTTTTGTTTTTGTTTGTTTGTTTGTTTTTTTTTTATCCAAGTGACGTTAACTTCAAAGAAAAGGATTAAACGGGAACCTTAATCTAGAGATTTAACTCACATCAAAGAAGAAGAGCGAAGAAGTTGAACGAACATGAATTTTGTTGGTAGTCTACATTTAGCCGTACCGTCCCCCACAAGGGATAACGAAAGGGAGGAAACGTCTACGAAATCTGACAGGAATCGTTTCATATGACTTCACACTAATCTATGCAAAGTTATGAAACTTAAGAGTATTTTTTGCGAAGTTGCTCGTCTGAGCGTGAAAGGTAATCGAAGTAAACAACAGCATTAAAGTGAATTCATTCTCATTTTTTTCAGGTAAATTTGCAATTTAGTGTCCGCGTTCAAAGATGTACTCTGCTTTATGGATATAGTAGGCGATTTTTGGTATAGAACAAGAAGAGGTTCGATTAGCCGCGCTAACGAAACTAGATTTCAATGTGTACGCGGCTTCTGCATGCATTTGTAGACAGTACCACGGTCGTCTAAAAATTTGGATCATTTGCTGCAGAACCTCAAGGTTTTTTACAGATTTCTTTAAGCAAATGTGATGAAAGAGCGACTTGTTTCTAAGTCGAAAGGATCGCTGCAAGGAATAGATAGTTATAATTTAATAGCTTCGCTGCACCGTTCGCAAAGAGACCGAAAGTTGAAGGAGGCCAAGTCCATTGGCCCAAAACCATTGAGAGGTTAACCGGCGGCACAATAAATACAGTGAACGCCTCTCTGCAAGAGAAGAGAGGCGATTGATCACTTTCGCGGCTTGATATATTTAAAATTTCCACGGCTTGTTGATAACGATACGGAGACATCATTTCCTTTAAAAACATATCCATGACTTTCTGCTGTTCTTCTTGAAATTTCTCAATCCCAAAAGTCGCGCAAACTGTTTTAAAAACCTCCCCGTAGATCGCTATCGCTTGATCAGAATTTTTTTAAAATTAAACCTTGTTACGTTTTCATTTAGCGGATGTGGTACGTGGAGCCAGCACGTGTTTTTTGTTTCATTCAAAACCCAGTAAATTTTGCTGTTGTTGTTGCATTGATATTATAAAAGAGATAGGAAAGGAGTTATTTTTGCATGTATGTATGCCAAACTTTTTACTGTGTGACAGACCTATAGACCTCAAGGGAAACGAAGCAACTAAGTTTTATTGTGAGTGTTTTCGTATGTCATTATTCGTGTAGCTATGAGACACTTACGTTCCCAATTTTTTCTATTTTATCCAATCAGAGGAAAGGACTAGCACTCCGTGGGGTGGGAAGGGAGGGGAGGGGAGTGCGATGATAAAGAGCTATAAAGGGCCTTTCGCCTTTTCCAAAAAATTTTTTTCAAAAGAAAGTTT